CCCGATTTCTTTTTAAACTGTCATCTCTGTGGGCACATGTGTGTCAGCAAGTACAATTCAGCCCCCCTCCTGTTGGTCCCACCCCCCCAATTCCCTCCAGCCTAGATGGCCGTGTGCTGTGGGGCCCCAGTCGCCCGGTCCTAAGCCGTGACCTTTGCACCTTACACAGGGACTTCCGTTGTGTCATTCTGCTGGAGGTGACGGCACTGTCACACTTTGTTTACTCTTTTAAGAAGATTACGATTTTTGTGAATGGTCTCATTCACCTAATTTCATAATATTTGTTTTGTTCTGGTGTTTGTATCCTTTATTGTCACAGTCCAGGCTTTAATGCTGCTCTTGGGAGAGTCCAGACACGGCAGGTCCGTGTGGTAGAGGGGGTTCCGTTCTTCATAGAGGGTCCAGACACGGCAGGTCTATGTCATAGGAGGACTCTGTCCTTCACGGAGAGTCCAGATGCAGCTGGGCTCCATCTGTCATAGGGAACGCTAGTCTTCTGATCTCGGCAGAGTGTCCTGGTGCGTTGGTGGGGTCTGTGGTTTTCGGACGACCAGCCCACCAGGACCCATGGTGGGATTGAGAAGCTGGCTTGGGTATTTAGTCTCACTGTGACGCTTACACTGCAGGACAAAACCAGGCCTCAGGCATTTCAAAAAGTACATCACTGTGTACTTTTAAAAAGATTTGGGCTTTTTTTTGAAGTCTTGACACTATAGCGTAAGCACTGCAAGGTCAGCGGTTCAAACCCAGCAGCCGCTCCTCAGAAGCCCTACACAGGATTGGTATGAATCAGAACTGACCCAACAGCACTTTACAAGAACTCAGTGTGATTAGCATACAGGAAATAAAGGTAGTAATTTCTCACGCCTTACACGCTCTCACGTGGTGATTTAGCAGTGGTCATGTGGTATTTGAAGGAATGTGGATTTGGAGGTCCTGGAGCTTGCTCCCAGTGCAGGTGTCTCTTTCTTGAGGGGTCATGGGTGTGGTCAGCGCCGCAGGCGCCGGGTGGAGTTTGATATTGTTGTGAACTAGTTGGACTTGAGGCGTGAGCTCTCTTTGCTAGCTGCTGGAGGCTGGGGGGGGCGTGCGGTGACGTCTCCGATCTGCTGCCAGTGCGTACTCACCCTGTGAACTTCATCTTCTGAGACTTGGGCCTCAGTAGGAGCTGGGCTGGATTAGATCTTTCCAGACATGCCGGATTGTGGCTTCCTAAAGCTGCTCAGGGCTTTGACGTGGCCTTGCGCACAGGCTGCTGAGTGGCTGGTCTGTCATCCTCAGAGGAGGCGTGGCCGGCGGGCCCTGTACGGAACCACGTCTTGGTTGTGAGTGTGGTACGTTCTGACAACAGGAACGCTATGACAGTGTGGGACCCCAGATGTAGGGATTCTTCTTGATTTTGAAGTCTCAGATTTCTTGTTCAGATAACTCCCTCACATGGACATCTGTGCCTTCACTCCCACTGGGTGCTGAGGGCCCGGTCCCCTTCCTGCAGGTGTGGTAGGCTAACAGAGCCTCAGCTGCTATGTCTGAGTGGAGTCAGGTTGAGGGCAGGAAGTGGGCAGGTATGAGCGTCTGGGCTGGTTGGTGGGCACTGAGGCGCCGTGCCACCGAATGGTCAGCCTTCAGGCACCCCGCCTCCACTGGCCAGTACCCATGTGCTGTGAAACTCAAGGTCTTGGGCTCAGCCTTGATGTTACTGGGGTGGTCTCAGCAGCCCACTGTCCTGGGCGCCTCCTTCCCACGGCTGTACCCTGTGCATTAACAAGAGCGTATCTGGCCTGAAAATGTGCAGCTTGTCTGAGTGCACGGTGGCACGCTCACAGGCTTGGGGCCTCCCTGTAAGCAGGAGCGCTGGGGGCCCAGGACTCCTCATGGGCAGCAGTGCCCACTGCCCACCCATCCTCTGTCCATGCTACTGGCTCGGCTTTCCGTTTTCAAGCTGGGGGTTTGATTCTATGTTTATTGTGTGTTACGTAAGAGCCCTGGTGGTACAATGGATTGAGCGTTGAGCTGCCAACCAGAGTTGGTGGTTCAAACCCACCAGCTGTCCCATGGGAGGAAGTTGAGGCAGTCTGCTTCTGTAAAGATTATACAGAAACCCTAAGGAGCAGTTGGCCCTGGGGTGGGAGTTGCCCTGACAGCAGTGGATTCTTAGGGATCTAAGCCACACAGGAGCCCTGGTGGCACTGGGCTTACATGCTCGACTGCTGATCAAAAGTTGCTCGTGGGACCCTGTCAGCCGCTTCTGCTTTGGTAAAGAGCAGTCGTGGAAATCCTATGGGGTAGTTCTAGCCCATCAGACGGGGTCTCGAGTTGGAACTGATGGCAAAAGGTTTGCTTATATGGGTTTATATATGTTTACTTATTTCATGTGGCTTTGAAATGCTCTCAGGTTAGGACACAAACTATAGCTAGTGATGAGATGCAAGAGGCCTTCCAAAAGTTTATGGGAAAACCTCTAGTAGTTTTTAGTTCAATTTTTCCACGGACTTTCTGGAGTCCCATAATCCACGAGGTCCTGTAGATGGCTCAGATGGCTCTTGTTCTTGTTTTTATATGAGACTTGCACTGAAAGGGACCTCGGGCCGTTCCAGCATGGGGTCACTGGGTCACCTCACCACACACTGCTGGCCCGGTGACAGCAGCCAGTCCCCTGGGCAGCAGGTCTGTGGAGCGGTACATTCTGCTCTATCTGCTGACCCTTCCTAGAGACTTTCGGAAAAAAAGATCGAACTCGAAAAAGATTTTAAAGCAATTTTTAAAAATAATTCAGATCCTCCAGAGACATGTGTTTTGTCGTCAGTGTCGAAGTTAAAGTAGAACCGTCCTGTGAAACCCTCCTGGGTCATTTCAGTGACCACATACTGTGTCATCTGTCTTATGTTGAAACACGGAGGCTTTCACAGGTAGTGTTCATAACCACTGCATTCACTTGTCATCACATTCACGGTGGTCACAGTCAGCTGTGTCCCTCCCGGCCCAGTGTACAACTCTCTGGAAACCGTAGTGTAAGGTCCCTCAGTTGTAGGAGAAGTGGCGTCATGTGTGTGCTCACGGTAGTCATAGTCAGGTGTGTCCCTCCAGGCCCAGTGTAGAAGTCTCTGGAAACCATAGCCTAAGGTTCCTTAGTTGTGGGCTGGCACCGTCTTGTCTTCCTCCAGGTAAGTGAAGGTCTGCAGTGGAATAGCATGTTACCGTAGATGAAGTGGGGGATCTCTCCCAGGGCTTTCAGGGAGATGTGTGCGCTGCAGTCCCACGCACGCCAGCCTCAGCCCTGGATCAGGGATGTGTGATGTTTGTTTCCGTAATTGACTAGTGTTTTGGTGGACGTCACATTTGTAGTAAGTTTTATAATAGCCTTTATCATTATCAGTTTTCAAAACCACTTTATTTATAATTTTTTCAGGAGATAAATCTCCCCCTAAACTTGAACCATCAGATGCATTACCTCTTCCTTCAAACTCGGAGACTAATTCAGAACCACCAACCCTCAAACCAGTAGAACTGAACCCAGAGCAGAGTAAACTATTCAAACGAGTCACTTTTGGTAATGAGTCACATAGCACTTGCTCACAGAGCGCCCTGGCGCATGGACACCCTGCGGCGCCCTCTCCCGCCAGCGGAGGCGCTGTGCCGGCCGCCCCCGCGCTGGCGGAGCCTTCCAGCGATGTGAACAGACGCACCTCTGTTCTCTTCTGCAAATCGAAAAGTGTAAGCCCCCCAAAGTCTGCCAAGAACACTGAGACCCAGCCAACTTCTCCTCAGCTAGGGACCAAAACCTTTTTGTCTGTAGTCCTTCCGAGGTTGGAGACTCTTCTGCAGCCAAGGAAAAGGTCGCGGAGCACATGTGGAGACTCCGAGGCGGAAGAGGAGTCCCCAGGAAAGCGCCTGGACACAGGTAATGGTCGTGGTGGGCTGGCTGGGGCGGGCTTGGGCGCATGCGGTGTGTGCACTCCATCCGAGCAAAGCCACCATTAGAGACCCTTGGGCCCCCCGGGCTGCAGGGCTCAGCTGAGCTGTGGGAGGAGCATTGGTGTCCTGCTGAGAGACTGGGCAGTCTGCGTGGTTGTTGGCGTGTTTCTCTCTGACGAGGTGCCTCGTGGCACGTGCGACAAGTGTGGGGGCTGCTGGGTGCGTTGTGCCCGGTCTCTGCTGGACTGAGACTCCCCTGAACCGTGGCCACTTGGTGGAGAGGACTGGTCTGCACAGCCCTTCGAATGGTTTCTCTGTCTGTACATGCGCGCTGAGGTGGTGTTGCCGCTGTAGGAATACTAGGGATGGCCACTCGAGTGCTCTGGGCCGTGGTCAGTGGTCACCTTGGTCTCCTGAACCAGAATGCCCCAGTGATGGTGGTGGGCCCAGCACCGGCTATCTCAGAGATTCTGCCAGTGGCTTTGTGGGTGGCCACCGACTGGGGTGACCCTCTTAAGTGTCTGTAACTTGCTTGAACTTTGGCTTGTTTTGAATCGACGCTGGACTTGCGTTTGATTGATTCCATCCGTCTGTTGGGCCTGGAGGAGAGACGAGTGTTTTCTCCTGGGCTGTGCTCATGTTGGGAGACCTCTGGTGGTCATGGAGTGGGACGAAGGGGTTGGGGTCCGGTCCCGTGCCTACAAGACGCGTGGGGCCATAGCTGTGCGCGTCTCCCTGCATCTGGCCTGATGGTCCACAGAGCAGACAGGCCTCTGTGGCCTTTACCCTGGCCACCGGGACAAACCAACCGTAGGGACACATTTCTCCTCTGGCAGCGGCTGGCTTGTGTGGTTTCTGGAATCACCTCCAGCTCCACTGTGGTCTCTCTTAGCCACAGCTGAGACACCATGGAGCTTGGGTGCTGAGCGCATTGGCAAGTTGGAAGCCAGGGCAGAGTGTGAACGCCGTTTTCTCGCTCGGTTGCCCTGACATGGGGCTGGCTAGTGGGACCTCCAGCTGTAGTGTCCTTGAGGGACATGCCAGGGAGGTGTCGAACTGTTTCCCTGGCCATGCTGACCTGTGTGACCAGCCTGGTGAAACTCACTAGTGAGTGCCCTCCCCGGTCCCGTTTCCCACGATGGTGAGTGTGAAGGTGTGGCGGAGAGCGCTCTGGAGGATGTGGGCCCGGGTCCTGACTGAACGCAGGTCTCTGCTTTCTTGTTCCAGAATGGCAGTAGAGTCAGTGGGCGCCTGAGGAGACCCCGAGCGCCCCTGGGAGCGAGCGAGTGTGCGTAGGTGGCGCGGCCTAGACCAGCTGCCCCGAGTGGGCCTGCCGACGTCTGCCCGGGGTCTGCCTGGTGCCCACGCCCCGACCTCGTGCGCCTGCTCGCCTGGACCTCTTGCTCTAGTCTCAGCCCTCTGCAATGCTGGGACCTTCCGATGCCCCAGCTTCAGGGGCCTGCTTGTCGGCAGGATTCCTGAGGGACACGAGGAGCCATTCCTTCTGAGGCCCAGAGGCCGGGCGCAGGGAGGAGTCGACGCCGTGAGCATGCTGTGTGGATGCCGGTGTTGTCTGTCTGTGATGATTGATGTATTGCCAGTGATGGACAATCAACACTAACTGCACTGCCCTGGTCCCTTTGGGATTCCTGTTACGTGATGCTGCCTGTGCCCCAGACCATGGTGGTTGGGGCGAGAGAGGAGTTAGTGCAACCGTGAGGGAGATGTGCCTGCGGAGCCCGAGGCTCCTTGTGCTCAGATCTCCCCACCTTTGCTTCGTCCACGTTCCTTTCTGACCAGTGGCCTTGCTGGCTAGTTAATGCCTCGGATCCTAGCGATTTTCTCTTACCCCGACTGGGGCTGGCGCTCTGCTAACGATGGCTGGGACTCAGCGACACCTCAGTGTTGTGGTGTGGGTCATGTTGGGGCCGCCTGCCCTGAGGAGAGAGCCTCCTCCACCTTCCCTCCTGTCGACAGTCTCTCGAGCCTGCTGCGTCCCTGGATAGCTTCCCTGGACAGATCTGGAGCGTGTCGTGGGCCATGGCGGCCCACTGCCCATGCGGCCTGCCTCTCTGTCCTCACTTCTCTTCAGTCGCGTCCTGGGGAGGATGTTGGATGACACTGCCGCCTTGCTCATGTAACACACTAAGCACCTGCCATGGAAGCGGAGCAGTCGACAGAAGAGGGACCCCCCCCACCCCCACCCCCATTCATCTCCTTTTGGCAGTGACATTCGGCTCTCAGAAATGGCCACACGCGCCGGGATCATCTTACTGGTGGTTTGTGTGTCACTGAAAAGTAGAGAAACAAACACTTCGATCGCTGATAATGAAATTTAAAGTGAGAAAGGAATCCCCGCCCGGAAATGATGGGCCCCCAGCCTGCGTCCATGCCGTTGTGCCCACGTCCATGTGGTGCTCTCAGCACCGAGCTTGGTGTGAGACGCTGGTCACTGGGCTGGAATTTGGATGCCAGGTGGGAGCCCTCGTGGAGAGAGAGCCATGGGGACACAGGCATCGACTTTGCTTTCTGACGTGTGTATGTGGGGGCAGAGTCCCCGGCAGTGTGGGTATGGCCCGGCCTTCCCCTCTGCTCCATGCTGGGTCTCCCCAAGGAGAACGCCCGGAAGCTGCCTTGGGGCACAGTGGTTATTGGTATAATGGAGCTTTCTCTGAGGAGCTGGACAGCTGATGACGTGGAAACTCCCCAGGTCTCAGCTCTTCCCAGACAGACGCAGCCATTGCAGAGCTGCTGCTCGGGGCTGTTTCCTGTTAAGTCCCGGCAGAGACGCTGCAGCGTCCTGGTCTCCCCTGCCCTTGGCCAGGGTCACCGTCCACCTCCAGCAGGTCCTGGGACCTCTAAGGTCTTGTGAAGTTTGTGGAGAAACATGAAATTCCTCCCTAGGTAACTTCCATCTCCCCTAGTGGACCCTGGAGTGGTGGTGGTTCTCTGAGCCTTGTGCTCTTTGGAATGTCTGGGCTCTACCCAGCATGGATGGGACCCTCCTGCTCAGAGAGTGGTGTGGAGCTGCTGCCAACAGCCACCCTCCCTCGTGTCACACGTGCCTGCTGGGCTTGCTCTGGTTCATGGCAGCCCCCCGTGGCTGCCTTCTGATGTGCTCACATGAGTTAGGGTTAGGTCCTGTCTTGGTGAGTTCTTGTCCAGCTAGCCACCACTGTGTATAGAGGTTGGAGCATGGCTTTTGCGTGGAGGCCCGTCACTGTGTGTGTGAGTTTTCACCCAGGGGCCTGTTGTGTTGAAGTGATCTCTACACTGGGCCCGCCGGGGGCCACAGTCAGTCCAGGGGGGCTGTGGGCCCGACTCTGAGCTGCAGGGTGGGCAGAGTCTTGGTTAGTGTGTAGGACTGCCACCGGGGTTTGGGAAGGCCCTGCTGCTGGCTGGCGGCCTCAGCTCACTGGGAACCAAGTGTCAGGGGCCTGATTCCCTGTCCTCTGGGACCTGCAGGCAGACCCAGGAGTGTCGCAGTCAGGGCTTGGAGTGGCTTTGAACCCATTCAGTTGTGACTGATGGAGCAAAATTGGAACTGGCCCAAAGGTTTGAAATTCGGATGGAACCGAGTGGGATAACTGACAGGTCAGAGCTCTGGTATGGGAGCCTGACTCAGCCGCCGGAGAACGACGTGTTTGAGCAGGGCAGCGCTGGTCAAGAGATCGGGTCGCTTTGTGAAGCACGTTGCTGTCCTTGTTTTCCAGTAGGGAGATTGAGTTGCTTATGCGTTTCCCCCACTTTGTTTTGCTTCATTGGCCGTGGCTGACTCAGGAAGACGTGGTTTGAAGCTCTGGTTGCAGGTGCAGCAGCGTCAAAACTTGTCTAGGCTCCCTAGAGAGAAGAGGTCAGATCGGCTTAAAGCCGGTTCCTGTGAAGTGGAGGTCAGACATGAGTCTGCAACCTTGGTGTCCCTGCCCTGACCCACCGCTTCCTACCCTCTGGGATTTGTAGTCTATTGCAGTGGCCAGTGCCTGACTAAGGAAGTGACATGTGCATCTCAGGACCATGGGATTGCTAAGTCTCAAAGGGTCCTCGGAAGTGCAGACCCCAGCTCTCCCTGCTTAATGCTCCCTCTGTCCTTTGGGTCTCACAATCCAGCAGTCCCTTCTCTGTGCTGTGCACGGCCACCTCTCGGCCAAGCAGGCCTCTTCTCAGTCCTTGGAGGAGTTACCTCTCACTCCCCTCGAAGACATGTCTAAGCTCAGTCCCATCCGGTCAGGTTCCACCCCGCTGCTCCCCCACAATAGACTGTGCTTCGTCTCCTGAGGAAATGCCTTCACTCAGTCTTGGCCCCCTCAGGTGGGGCTCCTCTGGCCTCCTCCTTGCTCACCTGCTGACCCAGCCCCCAGCCTGTGCAGTAGCCCTGTCGGCTCTCAGCTGCCTTCCTAGCAGCAGCAGGTGACTGTCCACCACCGGCCCTGTCCCCTCCTGCCCTGAAGGGGGCCCCTCCTCGGCCTCTGCTGCTCCTTCTCCCTTAAGGCCTCTCTCGCCTCTTCAGCTTTCCTTGGGAGATCTCTGTGCTGGGTCTGTAAGGCTCCGTGTCAGTTTTGGGGCGTGACCTATAGGATCAGTGGACCATGGTCACTTCATTTCCGTTAGTCTTCTGACCCAACCCCCAGAGCCCGGCAAAAAGAATCTAGCTGGCCATTGCTTCGTCCATCAGGACCATCAGTCAGCCTGGACGGCAGAGGGTTGGAAACCAGGATGCAGGGAGCCCACCTGCCTCGGGGTTGCTGGGGGTGGCCTGGCATGAGGGAGAGCCTCTCAAGCTGCCTTTCCAACGAACCAAGGCAGAAAGCCACATAAAGGACTTCTTCCATCCTGCCCATCGGACAGCAGCAGGCATGGTCTTCCCGGGAACCTCCATCTTCCGCCAGCTCGTGAACAACTCTCAGCAAAGCCTGTCTCCACACTGGCCAGCCTGAAGCCCCGGGTTCTGTCTGTCTTGAGTTGTGGGGGAGGGCTCTGCCACCCCTCTGGACCCTGTTCTAGCCCCACTGTCTTAACCGGCCACAGAAGGGGGTTCTGTTACTTTGTGCTTGATATACTTGGGGAGTTGTGTCATCTGGGCTCAGCCGGGCCCACCAGCACCAGTGAGCTTGGACAGCAGACAGCCGGCCAGGTGCCCCCTTCCCAGGCTTGCTTCACATGAGTGGCTCACGGGGAGCCTGCAGGGAACACGTCTGAGATTCTGCCACCACGTCAAAATGCTCCTGGAGAAATGCGGCCTCACTTTCAGATGCGCTCCTTCCATGGGGAAATGGTCAGGGTAGGCCGTGGGATGGATGGGTTCTGTTTGGGACAGAGATCAGCAGCGTTGACCGTCAGACCCCCAGACTTGGGCCTCAGGGCCTCGGGGGATGTGTCTGCGTGGTACTTCGTCTTCTACTCAAGTGTCAAACCTGGAGTCCAGTTTGGGCTGCAAGGGCAGATGGGACTCTGAGCGGCTCTCCAGAGCTCAGATGGAGGTTTGCCCATGCCCCGAGGCTCCACACGGGCTTTTGTGTGCTGGCGTTGCGTGACAGGTGGGCTTTTTCCTGTTGGTGGCACCCTCCACGGCCTGACTAGAGTTGTGGTTGAGACCCAGCTTCCTGAGCGCCATCGATCAGAGTCTCCGATGCACACTGACCTGGGCTCCTGCTTTCACTGCTGAGCAGGGGCTGCGCTCCGTGCACCGATTCTGTGTTTCCTGTCTCTCCTTGCTGGGGGCGCTGGGGGGACCAGAGACCTCAGGCCAGCTCGCTGGTGCTTCTACTCATCCATGCCCGCTCCTGTTTCAGGTCTCACGAATGGCTTTGGGGGTGCTCGGGATGAGCAGGAGCTGGGTAGTGCTCCGGGGAGAAAGGCTACGCCCCGGCGTCGCTGTGCTTCTGAGTCTAGCATCTCCTCCAGCAATAGCCTGCTGTGTGATACAAGGTGAGCCCCCTGCCCAGGAGAGAGACAGTGACTGAGATCTCCCCTCAGCACTGCGCTCACTGGGGGCCCCTGCTGTCCCCTTGCAGTTTCAGTACGCCAAAGTGTGGCCGCGGCAAGCCGGCCCTGGTACGCAGACACACCCTGGAGGACCGCAGTGAACTCATTTCCTGCATTGAGAATGGTAACTACGCCAAGGCAGCCCGCATAGCCGCCGGTGAGCCTGGGGCCTGGGGTGGGTGGGCATCTGCGGGGAAGGTGGCGTGTCCCTGCGGGCTGTGGCTGGCCGTGAGCAGTGGGGGACGCACGCTGACCGGCTGTGTGTGCTCGTCCCCCTAGAAGTTGGTCAGAGCAGCATGTGGATCTCCACCGACGCAGCGGCCTCAGTGCTGGAGCCCCTGAAGGTGGTGTGGGCCAAGTGCAGCGGCTACCCCTCGTACCCTGCGCTGGTGAGTGGGGGGTCTGCCGACCCTGCTGGGGAGTCTGGGAAGGTGCCTCAGGTGTTTTCCATGCATAGTTGCTGGCGGGCTCTGCTTGGTACTGCGGGAGGGGCTGCGAGGAAACTAGACGCAGGGCGGACGGCGGCTTCGAGCCTGGCTCCATGAGGCCTTCTCAGGTGTTCCCTCAGAAGCAGAAGCAATACTGTCTCCTGTCCCCCGGAGGTTTCAGTGGTGCCTTTCTGACCTTGTCCTCTGCCCAGCGGGCAGTGTGGTCATTGTGTGGGGCTCATGGGGTCCTCGCCTTACAGATCATCGACCCTAAGATGCCCCGTGTGCCGGGTCACCATAACGGCGTTACCATTCCGGCCCCGCCGCTGGACGTGCTGAAAATCGGCGAGCACATGCAGACCAAGTCCGACGAGAAGCTCTTCCTGGTGCTGTTTTTCGACAACAAGAGAAGCTGGTGTGTAGACACCCCGGCAGGGCTCGGGGGCTCGGGGTCAGACCCTCCATGTTCCACATGAACGGCAGTGAACGCCTTCAGGTCTCCTCTCTCCTTACCTGGGTGCTTCCTGTCCTGTTGTAACCTGTGGTCTTCCTTCCATACACCTCGCCCACCGTCAGGGCACACGCTCCTTTGACCCTGAACTGTCCCTCAGCACCAGGTCTGATGACACTAACCCTAAAGACCTGCCCTCCACCGTGTACAAGTCTGAGGGGGGCGATGCTACTGGGCGGTTCCCCAGGCTGTTAGGACCCGTGTGCTGAGCTTGGCGCATATGTGGCTGCTACCTGCTGGGGATGCGGATGGCTCCCATCCTCCTGCTGACCTTGGCCTGCCACTGAGTGCCAGCTGAGTGTCCACTGAACTTGTTGCCAAGTCAGGCCCCAGGGCCTCCTGGGTAACCTGCCAGGGGTCCCTCTACTCTGTACACCCGGCGTAGCTCTCGACCTGCGCATGAGAGCACTGCACTCGTGGGGGTGGGGGTGGGGGGCTAGGGAGGTGTTCATGCTGACACGGAGGGGGGGGTTAGGGAGGTGTTCATGCTGACACGGAGGGGGGGGTTAGGGAGGTGTTCATGCTTACACAGGGGGGGTTAGGGAGGTGTTCATGCTGACACGGAGGGGGGGTTAGGGAGGTGTTCATGCTGACACGGGGCGGGTGGTTAGGGAGGTGTTCATGCTTACACAGGGGGGGGTTAGGGAGGTGTTCATGCTGGCAGGGGCTCATCTTCCTGCCTTGCTGTGTTGGGGGGTGGGCGTCAGGTCCTGGAGGTTGATGTCTGGGGGACCCTGACCCTCCTATAGAGGGGTGTCCTGACATTGCAGACTTCCTCATTGTGCCTTTGAGCCTTAGTAAGCATGCTTCCGGGGGCTCGGCTGGCCCTCCTTTCAAACCTGAAGGGCTTTGAGGAGTGTGTGTTGCTGCCATGTGTGGAGCGTGTCCCGAGTGTGACATGCACATGGTATTTACTGTCCACTCCTCCTCTTTACAAGGCAATGGCTTCCCAAGTCCAAGATGGTCCCGCTCGGGATTGATGAGACCATTGACAAGCTGAAGATGATGGAGGGCAGGAACTCTAGCATCCGGAAGGCCGTGCGCATTGCCTTTGACCGCGCCATGAACCACCTGAGCCGTGTCCATGGGGAGCCCGTCAGTGACCTCAGCGACATAGACTGAGCCCCTGTCACCAGCCGACCTCCTTCAGATGGCCTGAGGCTGCCCTGTCGCCTGTCCATAGTGTTCATAGCTGTACATACCTGTATAGTGTTCAAAACTTAACTTATTCTGAGTTCCAGTCGTAGCTCTTCATTCTCTTCTTCGGGGAGGGGGTTTGTTTCCAGTTTTCTACCGAAACTACCCCGTCGCACTGTGGCCAGCGTGGGCACCGAGCCGCCTTCCGCCACACCTGGTGTGACCCACCCGTCGCTTTTTTATAAAAGACTTGAATGTGGAGTCATTTTATAAGTCATACTCTTTGCACCGAGTACCAATTATTTAATAAGACGGATGTAAATTTACAATGACAAATGTGTATTTTAAGAAAGAAAATGACATTATTTTGAATGGTACTTAGTGGAAAGAGCACGTCACTCGCAAATCACCAAAAACACTCCTGCTGGTCCGGCGGCACCCCGGGCTGCAGGCCCGTCTCCCCCTGGCCCTGGGCCCGACCACCAGGTCCCCCAGCGGGCTCTTTATTGTAGAAATTGTATTCATTTGCTTTATATTGAAAATAAATTTACAGAAGTATATTGATATGCATTTTTATACCGGCACATAAAGATCCCACTTGCTTTGGGAGAAATGTGGTTGCATCGTATAATGACTGGATGGCTTGTGTGTACTTTGATTTTGTAACTTGTAACCTTTTGTTTACAATGAGGGGCTTTCTGCACTTGTTTTAATCTAGGACACTTTGGTAGCAATAGAACCTTTGGATACATTTTTGTATGGTACATGTGATGTATATAGAATTAGTACTTTATTTTTATTTTTAAGAGGTAAAGCATTATGTTAGGGGGAAGTAGAGAGGGTTTCCAAAATGCATTTTTTATATTAAAAAATAAAAGTCAAGATTTGGAATCCTGTGGCCGCTTTCTTTCTCCGTTTCTCAACGCTGGTGGGGGCAGGCGAGGCCCATCGCAGTGGCTTCCTGCGGATGTTGTCAGGCGTGGTGACGTCATGTAATAGTTGGGCCTAATGGTTTTCATGGTCAGTCTACACTGTAACAGCTCCGAGGAAACCTGAGCGCAGGGCTTCCTTTGAGGGTTCTGTTGGGGGGCAGCGGCCCTGGTTACTCAGACCCTTCTCTCAGGGCCACTGGGCACCCCCTGACTGTTGAGTGAGCCGCTGACCTCCAGTGTCACCCTGGGGCCTTCCCACCAGGTGTCTCCGCAGTCAGCTGTAGGTGAGGCTTTGAGCATCCATGGGAGCAGCCGCTGACTTGCCTTCTGCTTCGGTGTGGGGCTGAGGGGTGCCCAGGTGAGGGTGGGGTGGCAGAGGGGAGGCCAGGGCTAGGGGGTAGCAGAGGGGGCAATAGTTGGATCGGCTGTAGCTTTGGGGGTGCTCGGGCAGCTGCTCCCGGGGTTTGGAGCCTTCTGTCATGTTGGGGGCTGAGGTTAGAGGGTGGTTGGAACCCTGGGCTGGGCCCGGCTCTCACCCCCTCGGGTGCTGCCCTGGTGAGGACCGCATACTGCAGGAGGGCAGGTGCCCATGCCTCGGGACAGACACCCAGGCGGCAGCTCAGAGCTCACCTCGGTTGGTCTGGGGCCAGATCTTAGCCCTTCTCCTCTTCCTCCCCCCCCCCCCCCCCTGTATTAAATAGCGCCAGGCTCTAGCCAAACCCAGCATCCAAGGGTCTTCCCTGATGCGGATTGGGCTCACCTTCCATGTCCTCAATGCCTCAGCACCATCTGCTACCCCTTATCCCACCCCAACTCAACCTCATGGACTAATGGGGGAGGGAGGGTTCTGGTTCCTGCCAGCAGGGCCTGGCCTGGCCTGAGAGGGCAGGGACCCCGCCCCATTCAACTTCGGAGTCCTAGGAGGTCTGGACTGACTGACTTGTCTTTCTTGCAGTGTTTGATAATACAGACAAAATAGGCCCCAAAGTGGTCTTTAGGACCCTGTCTCTGTTTCTGTGGGTCTCTGCTGTTTGCTCACCTGTATACACCTCTTCCTGATTTAATTAAAACTAGCATGCCCCCCCCCCCCCCCCCCAGGGCTTGCATTTTGTAGTGCTTTATTACCACTTCAGACATGTGACTAGGAGCTGTGGGCACAGCGAACCCCATGCACAACAGATGGAACCGTGCCCGGTCCTGTGTCAACCTCACTATTGTTACCACGCTTGAGCTCATTGCTGCTGCCACGGTGCCACTTCATCTCGCTGGGGCTCTTCCTCTTTTTCCCTGACCCTCCGCTTTACCAAGCATGATTCTACAGGGACTGGTCCTGTCTGACAATATGTCCGAATTATGAGACCAAGTCTGGCTATCCTAGCTTCTAAGGAGCATTCGGGCTGTACTTCTTCCAACACAGATTGGTTTCTTTTGACGGTTCATGGTACTTTGAATATTCTCCAACATCGTAACTCAAATGCATCAATTCTCTGCTCTTGTTCACTGTCCAGCTTTCACATACGCATGTTGGTTGTTAAATGCTGTTGAGTCTATAGGGTTTCCAAGGTGGATCTGCCAACCTTCTAGGTCACAGTCAGTGCTGATCGTACATGTAGTCCCACAGCAGGAGTGCACAGGAGGCCTAAGATGTGTGCACTAATGCTGAGATGACGTTCCCCGGTGCGGTTTCTACTCCATGCCCTCCTGTGTGGCTGTGATGGGGTTTCTCACGGCTAAGATAGGGGCCTCTGCTCCTGGGCTCCGGGGGTGCACTGGGCGCTGCCTTTTCAGGTTTTTTGATTATTTGGGAATTTATGAACTCTGGGCTGCTATTCCTGTGGTTTGTTCAGAGTGGGGACACGTGTTGATTGGGGCTGGGGTGCAGCTCTAGGTCCTGTTTGGGGAAAGGGGTCTCCAGGCATCCTGGGATCCCGTGGGATAGCTAGGGTGAAGGGGCCGCTTCAGAGCATAGGGTATGGGTGAGCAGGCAGAGGCTCGGGCATCTCGGCTGGAGACTGAAGACTGGGGCCTGGGCAGTGGATCCTTCCAAGACAATATCTGGCTTCTTGCTCTGAGGGTGGACAGGCCGAGTTCTTTCCTTCCATCTGTCCATGACAGTTCCTGTTGGAAGCTGGCTTACGCCCTGGCCCTTCAAACCTGCTGTCAACTCACCAGTGCATGGAACTGTATGCGGCCACTAGAGGGCGGTGTGGGTCCTCCAGGTATTCGCCTGCGTCCCCGCAGCGCCAGCGTGGTTCTTGCGCTAAATGAGGAAAGAGGAAACCAGTCAGGCAGGCCAAGTAGAAATGGCTCCCTCAGGACAAGGGGTGCCTTGGGAGATCAAACCTTGGCTCAGCTGGAGTGAGGTAGGGGGTGGGGCAGGGCAGAGGCCACAGACTCCCTGCGCTCTGCTCTTTGTCTCTCCCCGTCCCCGCTCCACACCTAGACACACCCTAGTTCCCTTTGTGCACCTACCCTAAGTGCAGTTGAACAGGTCCTGGGATCAGTGACCTACAATGCTGGCTCTTTCCCCAGAAACCAGAGCCCCTGGTAGCCCCCTCACACCCTCAGGGCCCGGCCTCATAGTAGATCCTGCGGAACTGACCCAGCTGTCCAAGACTTCCCTGAGTGGAGCACCCTCCCCCATTAGCCATTGCTTCCCTCTCCCAACCTTCCCTGTTTGTGGGGACCTCTGTTCACCCCTGCAGACGCTGAGGAAGCACATGCCTCCTTGGGCTTCATGTTCCAGAATCGGAGTTGATGGTGGGAATGAGCAGCCCTCCCACCGAAGCTGATCCAGGGTGAGGTGGGACAGTCCTCGGCTGCATGTCCAACAGGCCCTGTGCTCCCTGGGTCTGGCCACAGTGGCACTACCGGAGGAGGTGTGGGCAGTGGGCAGGGGAATGGCTGGGCTGACCTAGGGACGAAAGGCAGTCTGGAAGACAAGGTGGAGGGTGTTAGAGAAACAGGGCAAGGTCAGGGTGTGGGGTGAGGTGGGGGTGTGGGGTGGGATTAGGGTATTGGGTAGGGTTGGGGTGAGGTTGAGGTGTAAGATGAGGTTGTGGTGTGAGGTCAGGGTGAGATGTGAGGTTGGAAGGTGGTTCTGGGGTCTGAAGTCCCAGTTAAGCTGCCACACCTGTGGGCTGAGACTAAGTCAGCAGACATGCTTTGCTTCAGGGTTAGCAGGGGTTGGGAGGAGGACGGTGCTGCCCATGGGCCAGGCAGATGTGGGGTGGAGGGGAGCTGGTACCACACTGTGGGTGCAGCCACCCAGCTCTCAACAGCGCTCCTCCAGGTGGCTCTGGGGCTCCCTGTTACGGCCCACCCGGTTGGTGCCCGAGCCGCTCACTTAACAAATGTCCCATTTTCATAAGACTCGCTGGCGGCGCCACGGTAACCGCTCTGCATTTATGCCGAGTTATGCACTGAGAGAGGGCCCAGGTCGTTGTCTCTGCCAGTTAACCTGAGACGTATTAGTAATGCTCCTGTATCCTGGAGGGGTGATTTTATTTGGTCTTTTGCAAAGTGAGAGATATCAAGATAATGAAAATGAAAAATTCACCAGCACTGAGATGCCATCTGCCCCGGGCACATTGATGGTTTGTCAGGGTGGGTGGTGGGCTGCCTTGGATGGTCTTGCTGGACTTGAGGGAGAACTTGCAAAAAGACCCAAGGCTTCTGACCAGGGCGAGGGCCAAAGGACCAGACAATCCCAGTCTGCCCCCTGGCTTGGTGAGACCTGCCCCTTGTTCACCCGTCCACCTAACTGTCCTTTCCTGAGACTGTGTTCCCACACTGCCGAGCCTCCGAAGGACTGCGTTGGGTCCAGGGCTGAGGACTCTGGCTTCCAGGGACAGGAGATGGATGTGGAGCCGGAGTCCTGAGCTCAGGGCTATGTGGGAGACCAAGCCGCTGGAACGCTAAGAAATGTGTATGTGTGCACATATGTGTTGATGAGGGTGCCTGCATGTGCCTGCATGGGTGAGCACATGTGGGACTGTGCACACACATGCTGGTGAATGTGTATGCATGTGTAAGTACATGTGGGATTCTGTG